AATCAAATACAAACCCACAGGACGTTAACGGCGCGCTCCCCTCCAAACGCTGCGTGAAACGCCGCTGGGAGGCGACCCAGCCGCCCGCTCTGGTTCAAAACCAGAAAATTCAAAACCCGAAAAAAAAATATTAATTTTTTCCCCCTCCCTCGAGCGTGCAAAAAAAAAAAAACCAAAACCAACCAACCCAACCCCAAAAAACCTCTACGCGTTGCAGCCGGTTCGCTCTCTTCAAGCCACGAAGAGAAAAAAAATAAAGTCTCCTTCAAATAGATGAGCGGTGAAGGCGCCGATTCGGCAAAAGTACCAAAAATGGGATGGGGAGTTTTTCCAGGGCGGTCAAAATCGCCCATCATGCAGCAGAAATTCAGGAGGATTTGTGCCCGTAGGGGGAAAATGCAGCCATTTTCCCACAGCGAGCGCAAATTTGAGTAAACACAGAATTTTTATTAATAAAATACTTCCAAGGGCTTGGTTTGGTTTGGTTTGGTTGTGGGTTTTATTTCTTTGTTTCCACCACGCTTTTATTTTCAGAGCGCTCATCGTACAAATTTTCTCATCGTAAAGAAACGACGCTCGCCCCTCTCTTCCCCACCAAAAAAAAAACCCAACAGAGGGCTGAAACGGGTTACGTTACCCTTCTCAGAGCATTTTTCTCTTCGTGGTTAGAGGAGGCAGATTAAAATCTGGACTCCAACGGAACGATGTTTAAGAGCCTCAGCTTCTTTCTTTTTTTTTTTTTTTTTTTTTCCAAGGCAAAATAATGGTTATTCAACTAAGATGATATATCTAGATATGAAAATTGAGAGCATTCTTCGGAAAAAAAACGCCGCCGACTGTGAAAGGCTGCTCTTTCACAGAGGTATCCTGAGTGAAGATTTTTATCGGCTGGTATCTCAACAGGGCGGTTTTCAGAGCCTCGAGTGGAAATTCAAATCTGCTTCCGAGTGAAGATTGTTAAAATATATAATGCGTAGAGAATTAGACTTTCTCCTGAGAAGTTTACGGATTCGTCCGAGAAAAACACCACCTCACCCCCCCCCACCCCCCAATCACCAAATTTTTCAGCGTTGCGTTGGTACGGTAAATGGGGATCTGCAATTAACTTTCTTTTTTGATGTCATTGAGTGACACGACGAAAATGTCACCAAATTGCCCTCCATAAGCAACCACCGTTTGGGCATGGGCACATTCCTG